GATCAAAAACACGGGGATCATAATTTGAAAACAATCCATTAATATAATAAAAAATGGTGGCTAGATTATAATTAAAGGTTTAATGTTTTTCCTATTAGATACTGATTGATATTTAAATAATTATAATGCTTAGTGCATTTCCTCAAACATACCTGTGAGGGTCATGGTGGCTCAGAGGATACAGCTTGCCTCCCAATGAAGTTACCCGGGTTCGAATTGCAGTGATAACTGATCGATACGAATTTCGCACTCGTCACGCACCGACCACAGTACTAGCGTAAAATATCCTCTTTCAGACGGATCATGGGCTTGATTCCCCTTGCCGGCAAGCTAACCGCGGGAGGTTTTCACGGTTTTCCCCTCCATGTAACGCAAATGAAGGTTAGTTCTATCAAAAGTCTTCCACGAAGGCAAATTTCTCCCAATACTCGATCCAGGAGTTTCCTAGTCCTCTCAGTCGGGTTCAAAATTACAAGCTACGGAGTTAAACATTAGTAATCGCACACTCAAAATTGGATTTGCTGTTCAATGACGGTTTTCATGTAAACATATCTTATGATAGAGTGGCAAATGCGCAGCTACCAGCATTTTCAAAGTTTCCTTAAGATTTTATTTTCACAATGTTAACAAGGTTTTTGTTTTCCAGTTTTAATTCTTGACTTTATAAATTCAATTTTAAATTATTTCGATCAGCATAAATAAATTAATCATATGATAAACACGTCGACGTAGTTTAGTTCTCGCAAAAAATGACTAAATATCAATAAAAATATACTTAAATCTACAATTATATCTAATTTTAAATTATTTTAATCACCTTAAATAAATTAAGCATGCGTATAAATATATGATACAAAGACGTTGATGTGTTTAAGATCTTGGAATAACCGTTTAATCTACGATGGTATTTTAGTTGTCACTTGGAAAATTTGTCATCAGAATACGTTAAGACTTCTCTCATAGAGATACTTTTCTTAAATAGTTAAATATATTTTATACTTTATAATTTTATTTCTGATTTAATAGATTTGAATTACAATGATTTTGACTAACGCTTATAAACAATTTAAACAAATATATGAGACCTGATAACCTTACAATGAAGTTTTTAATTGTTGGCAAAATTAAACAGATTAAGATTGTTGGGTGCAAGACGTTGGCATCTTTGCAACTGTATAACTTTCACAAGAAATCTTAAAAATAACATTAATTTACCTCCGTTTTTTAATTTTAAAAATAGAGTTTCTAATTTCATCAGCTTTCAGCCAGACTTATTTTTCCGAATATTATAATTAATGACAAAAAGTTTATGTTATAAAATTTGGTTTTTAGTTTATGAATTTATTATGAAATGATTTTTATCCCCACAACTTATAAACAATTTAAACAAAAATATAAAACACCTGATTATTTTTTAAATTTTTAAGTATTGTAAAAAATTGTAATTCTTATTACTTTACTAATTAACCTTAATAATCGTGGTAAAAAAAAAGCTCTGTAAAAAATTTACGTTATTATTTGATAAAGGATTTTAAGGAAAGGTTCCTGTTTGAAGTGTATGTTCAGTTTATATTTACGAACCTTAATTGATTGTATATGTGTAGTTTTTGTTAACAAAAATTAACAATAACATTTAAATAAAACATTGTATAGCATTTTAAACAAAACATTGTTAACATTATATAAACAATTTAAACAAAAATATAAAACACCTGATTATTTTAATAATTTTTAAGCATTGTAAAAAATTGTAATTCATATTACTTTACTAATTAACTTTAATAATCACGGTAAAAAAAAGCAGCTCTGTAAAAAATTTACGTTATTATTCGATAAAGGATTTTAAGGAAAGCTTCCTCTTTGAAGTGTATATTCAGTTTATATTTACGAACCTCAATTGATTGTTCTCATAATTAATGTGTAGTTTTTGTAAAAAAAATGTTTTTATCAAGATATCTCACTTTTATTACTCTTGCATTTATGGAAAATAGTGCAACCACTTCAACAAAGTTGATCAATCGGAAACTGCCTGAAATTTGAAACTTTTCACTCAACAAAGACACCCTCTTTGATGAGGAGGGGACTAAAATTACTCTTGACAGCCCGCACGTGCCGATACACACTAGAAATTGAATGTCGCTAAAAATGTGACAACTCCTAGCAACTGTTTTCCCACACAGAATGTCAGGAACATTATGTTTTAATTCAGGTTCTCTGTTTGATCTTATCATTGCTGTGATTTTACATGTTGAATGATCAGTATTTTAATCAATAAAATTGTAGGAAAAATTTTAATGCTATTATTACATTTTATATTAAAAATGTTAACATTATTTAATATTATAATTTTATATTAAATAATATCATATATAATATTATATAATACTGGATATAATAATGTATATAATATTATTAATATAAGTTTCGTGTTATTTATTTTAAGGTTATTTCTTCTTTATATAAAATTTCAACATGGTAAAAAATAACTTTGAAGTATATAAAAATGCTGAATTAAGAAAAAATTAATAATTCCACAACATTAAATTACTTGGTTTATGATGAAATTAGCACTTTTTATGTATTTCAATTATGTTTTTTTCGAATTTACGTTTAAAAATTGAAGATGACGTTAAGATTAAAAATAGCTTTGAAAATGATCGAATTTGAAACTAAATTTCATATAACAATGATTAAATGAATTACCATTTCAACTAGCTGAAATTGAGATTTTTTTGTAATAACTAATTACAAATTTTCTTTAAACACAGTTCTCTAAGTAAACGATGTTAAAAAATAAAAGTACAAAAACACATATTTAAAAGTAATTAACAGAGATAATAATTAATATTAATTTAACCATTTTACCGGTATTTTTATGCAACTTTTAAAATTCTTAAAAGAAGGAAAGGCAAATTTAGATCAAAAGGAATTTAATTTTACACTGTTTTGGAACTACCATTGAGAAGTATCTTTAGCAAAAATCGTAAAAGTTGGGAGCTATTCTTTATACCTGCGTTAAATTCATTTACATTTATATGACGTAGTTTTCGATATAATCATCTCTTTCTAAAATAGAGTGATGGCAAAAGATTTTCAACAGGAATTGTTTACTTATTCAAAATAAAGGCATGACGAAGGTTGTTTTCCGAAGACTTCGTCGTTATACAAAATGATACTTACTTGCGTATAATACGCTATTTTCATAATCATAAATGCTCTGACTTTGCAACAGTTACTCATGATTGTTAGGACAAGTTTAGCTTATCTAAAACGACAACTATCTGTCGTTTTTTTATGAAAATGGCGGAAAACGTCAATATGGAGAAAAGACACAGTTTCGTGCAAATGAAGAGCATTTCTGGTCTGATTTTTTAATACTTAAAAACATACCTTGATGCTGTATTATCTAGGCTCATAAAAATTTCCAAGAACTGAGACTAAAGGCAGTGATTTTGATAATCTTTTTCGTGGTAGAAAAGTGTCGCCGAATTTGAGATTTTTAATAACTTATAAAATATTTAAGTCACTCGTTCGTTTTAAAGCCTAGATAATTCTTCACTGTTAGATGATATATATCTATACATTTGTATATTATATATAATTGTTTTGCTTCAAAGTGTAAGGTACTTAAATTGTAGCTTCTTATTTTCCTCGGAAGCAAAGCTTCGAAAACCCATGTTAAAGGACGCCCTCCGGTTAAAATTTGTTGTTGACGATTGCAACGATTTAAAAATCATAACCTTTCTCGTGTTTGGAAATCGTTGAATGAAATATTTTAAAAGAGGATTTAGTGGAATAAAAGCCACCCTAAATATTGTCTATGTAGATGGTGCGAAGAGACAAAAGTTTGCGACCCCTGCATTCGACGTTTAATCTTTTGATGGGATTAAATTCGTTGCGCTGATCGGGATTTTTGAAGTAGACCGTTTTAATGGCATCCCCATAGCAACCATCCTACTCTTTTCCTTTTTTCAACTTTTTTTTTTAAAGACTAAATTCAGTGCATGGGAACCGGTGATAAACCCTGATTTTTAAGAATGGGATGCTGAGGATTATAGGTAGTTTAGAACTTGGAATTAACAATTAGCGACGGAGATTAAATGCATTTAAAAATAAAATAAAAAATAAAAAAGATTATTCGTGATATTATCCGTTACTGCAATGCTAATGTACTGTGATTTGTGTGGGAAAAGTTGGTCGTTTTCAATCAATTTTATTTAACGTATAATGAAATCATTTGAGAAATACTATACATTAACTAGTATATTAAACTAGCTAAAAATAATTGTTGTAGAAAAAACAAAAAAAAAATTGTTTAAAAAAAATCGCTGTCTTTTTGTTTGGACACATTTATTGAATTAAATTTTGAGGAAATGATTAAATGAAGCGAGTAAGTTACATTTACAGGGATAAGTGACATTTATTAATCAGGGAATAAAAATATGTCGTGCTCGAATCAATATAGGTATGTTTAATATAACAGAAAACTGGCTTTTTGCTTCTAGTTTAATTCTAACATAACTAATAAACATTAGCTTTGAGTATGATTACATAATTTTTGTTATAAATTAGGACGTGGCAATTAAAATAAAGCAAGGAATTATTAACCCACTTTCTAATAAATTTATATTAACAAAATAGTTTGGATGCAGCATTTTTTTCTTTTCTTATCCTGATTGTAGTAATTCATATAATGTTTGGATCAGCTATCTTAAATATCCTATTTTTTGAGGCAGTTAATTAAAGTGCCAAGACTGCGAAAGCTATGATCTCGGGATAGACTTACGTACTTTATTCAGGGGTTTCTGTACTGGTTGTCATAAATGAAACTATTTCGCACATCTTGGCGACTAACTTTGCGATTATCCAAGTGTTTTTTGAAATATAGTGGAAAAACAAATATTTTTAGTTTACAACTTTTTAAAATTTTACTATTACTATTTTTCTCTCTTTAATTTTGATTATTTTGTAGCCTTATATATATGTTTCTTTTCTTCCAGGCTCGGAAAAAACAGAGTGAGTTAAGTCCTGACAGAGCTGGTTCAGCAAGCAACTAGGATTCATCGGAGATTCTCTTTTAAATTTACATCAAAATGTACCGGTGTTTCACTTATTTTGTTGCCATTCCTTCATTTCAAAAGAAAGAAAGATCTAAAAACTGCTCACAAAATTATTTGGCTCGCCTTATATTAACCCAGAATGTTTTAGAGAACTCTTGATTTGAGTTGATGTTTTAGGAACAAAAGCTTACCCTTACATGACTATAGAAGCTTAATTTAACCTAAAAATGTAAAGAAATTATTTGTTTCTAATGGTTTAATTTGTATCAGTTCATTGCAAAAGTTCGTGCTCTATTTGAAGCCAAATGCAATATCCGAAACATCGAACTTATATTTTACTGAATCATAATTTATTTATTATTTGCTTAGCATGAAATCATTTTTTTAAAAAATGTTTAGTTCTTTGTCACTCATAATTGAATGAATAACAATTTTTACTATTTCAAATTTTTTAAAATATGTTCGCGTTTGACATTAATAATTAGATTTTTCCAAATGACAGCTTATTAGCTAAATGAAACAGCTGTAATTTACTGAGGTTTTTCTAAATTATTTTATCAAAAATAGAATATTAGAAAATGGGAATTTAAAAGTTTAAATAAATAGAGAGATTTTCATCTGTTAGTGTTGTATGGTATAAATAATTTAGCAATACTTTATTCATATGAAATAAAACAAGGTTTCTTTTCAATTCATTTTTTTAAATGTAAGTCAGATGCTCACATTATTTTCTACAATTATTTGTTTGTTCTTATTTCTCTACAGTCAACAGGCAAGCTTTACAATAATTTTTTACGCAGTTTAATCAGGCATCAACTTTTGCAATTATCAGACCTTATTCTCCCCACGAGCGAAAGTTTAAGGAATGAAAAGTACTAGGAATGACGTCATTTTCGAGAACAAGCTAAAAGGCTTCTTATATGACGTCATAAATACGTAATTTACAAATGCTGGAACTTATCACATTGTATAAAAATTGGACCGTCAGCCTTTCTAATTCGGAAAGCACTCTTAGTGTACTCCATACTTTTTTTTTGTGCAAAATATGATCTGTTTGGTATTGTTTTGCATTGAACAATTATTTAATTTATTTTGACTTTTATGATTTCTAAATTTCCATTTGAGCTTTTACCTTTTGTGTTTTTGAACTCTTGATGTAAATATTGTGTTTGTCGGAAAATGAACTATTGCTAATTTTAACTCGGATCTTTCAGATCTTTCTGTTTTGTAAATAGTCAGCCAAATATCTTGTTATTGAAGATTCCTACTGAATATTTATAATTTTCTGTTAGTTTTCTTTTCTTTTAATGTCTTCAAGTATTAAATTTTTTCATAAAGAAAAGCAATGAATTTAATTTTTTTTATTTCTTAAAGCAATTAGAAAAGCAATTTTTTTTATTTCTTAAAGCAATAGTACTTTTAATTTTCATATAACAAGATTAAGGGCTTTGCAAACTGAAATTATTTATGAAATATGTTAAGATATTTGTTGTTTTTTGAATTTCGTGTATATTACTAGAATCATCCACTTTGTTGCTCAGCACAAAAACCTTACATCACTTCTGTTTTCTTATTCGGAAGTGAATCAGCTTTGTGTAATATTATAAATATGGGTTGTAAATATTTATACTGCAATATTTGTTCATGTATCTGTGTTATAATGTGTCCCGGATATGTTGTTTTTAAACTGTGTGTAGCTAAACACCAAATGAAATGAAAATATCGTCGGGCACGATATGTTTTAATGATATATTTCCTAGTCTAGATATTGTATTTTTGTCTTTGTTTGTTCTGAATAAAAATAATTCATTGGATTTTTTTGCAATGGTTTTATTTAATTATTTTCGTTAACATGGCTTTTCGAAACTCTTCTACTAAGGAAAATAGAATAGTTTCAGTTTAAGTACACTTGAGGCAAAGCTATAATTTCAAACTATATCTATGCCATTTAGCCGTAAAAAAGCATCTGGGCTTTAGAAAAGACAAATAATTAAAATATTTTAAAAGTTTTTAAAATAGCAGATTTATCATCATTTTCCATTTATATGAAATTTATCAAAATCAATGCCTTATTCTCATTTTTTTTGTAAATTTTTATGAACCCAGATAATGCAGCATTCGTGTAAGTTTTTAATTGTTAAAAAATTATGCCACTATTACACTATTTCCAGAAAACTGCGGTTTTCCTTATTGACGTTAATTTGACCTATTAGTCATGTTGAGTAACTGCCATAGGTGATTGTGCTCCAGAAAAAAAAAATCCGGATTTCCAGATTTTTCAAAAACCGTGATCCGGATGTTCCTGGAAATCCAAGGTCCAGAAGTTTCAAGAAATGATCGATCTCATTTATGCATACAAATTCTTGAATATTTAATTTAAAAACATTAGAACTAGAATTTATACTTGGCATCTCTTTCATTTGTAAATATTTTTTCTGGTAGAATAATAAATGTGATTATAGATAAAAGTAAACATATACATGATTATTCATTCAAATTATGCAACATATAATTTATTTAGAATTTTCATGTTTTGAAAATATCAATGATTTAAATTTATAAAGACATATAAATTTTTTGAATTAATCATTAATGATTTTACTCAGGGAATTTTCAGGATTTTTAAGTTGGCCCCTGAACTGTTGTGAACTCACAGCAGTTATAAAACAAGTTCGGAAATTTCACTCCATAGCAGCAAATTAAAGAGCTCAAAATAAATAAAATAAAAATAAACGGACCGCCCTCAATAACTTTTGATTTAATGTTCTGATCTTCACGTTCTAGGACTCAATCTTAATAGTTCTAGAGAGTGCTCTTAATTTATGCTAATTAATTACTTCTGATGATTTATTAAGTTACGAAATTAAGTTAAAAATAATTACGAGTTCTTTTAATAAACATAACTTTTTTATGCGGATTGGGATTTCTTACTCTCAAAATATAGGAGCAAAATATAGAGGCAGTCGCGATCTTGGAAACATGGTCTCAATAGTTTGGTCAATCACCATTTCACCATATATTGAGAACTTTTTAAGCAAATTGAAAAGATTCTGCATGAAATTTTAAAATTTTTTATCCGAAGATAATTGACTGCAAAATATATTTTTTAGTAAATATTTATTATTTTTTAATATTTTATTTAATAATAGTCCAAAAAATACAGAAATAGCAGAGGAATTTAAAAAATGAAATTTTAAATGGAAAAATGCAGAAGAACGAAATGGTCAAATAGTTCTAAATAAATTGAATTTTAAAAACACGACTTTGATATTTCCGTCAAGAAAAGGTATGTTTATTTAGAGAAAATATGTTATTGGGTTTGATTTCATAACTTAAAAAAATCGTCGGCGCTAATTAATTAGCATATTTGAGAACACCCCCTCTTACTATTAAGTCCCAAAATACGAATCTGTGATCATTAGGTCAAAAGTTATTCCAGTTAGCCCGTTCTTTATTTTGCGCATTGTACGTAGAAACATCATACTGCTTTACCGTAATTACACGGTATTTTCCACCAAACGCACTGTCCAGAAGAATTTTAAAATGTGGCTTATCATTCCACGCCCCAACCCATTAAAAAGGGGATATTATATTGAAATAGGAGAACTTAGGAAAATGAAGTGACAAGTCTCAATTATCCGAAGGTGGACAATTTTAAATTAAACTATTTTTAGTGCATACTGCTTTTTAGTTTCCTAAAATTTTACTCCATAAAAGCATTGTGCGGCCTACTTGGTAATAATAATATTTTCCATCAAAAAGACTATCTTTAATGATAGGAAAATGTGGCTCAGGTTCGAATCTCAGCGGTGACTAGTTGAAACGAATTATGCTCCCGACTCTCACCGACCACAATGCTGACATAAAATATCCTCAGTGGTAGGCATATCGTAAGGTTGGGATCCCCTTGCCATTGGGAAAATAGGGGGAAGTTTTCGTGGTTTCCCCTCCATGTAACTCAAATGCGGGATAGTTTCATCAAAAAGTTCTCCACGAAGGGTAGTTTGCCCCGATCCAGGAATTCCCTTGTCTTCCGGATTGGATTCAAAATCACAAAGCTAATAAATATTTATATTTTTAAAAAGTCCTGTAAGGAACAGACAATAAGTATAATGGTGATACTCTACATTTTTTCATTGGTTAAAAATTATTTAAGTTTAAAATTCTCATGACAGAAGTTTTCAAAATTTAAGTGAGAGTTAAAGCGATGCCACCCCATTTTTTTTTTCCATATCTTTAACTTTAATGTTTTGTGATTTAGATTTAAAAATTAAAGACTTCATTTATACCATTTCGAATATAAACTAGTATTTGTTCTTTGAATATTTTGCTCCCTGTAGGTCAGAACAATTGATGTTTTTTAAACAGCAAACAGATGCCATGAAATTCCATCCGTATATTTTGAACAGCAACCCTTTGAATCCCATACCACGTGTGTCCATGCCTGGCATATCAAATGATGCCAGTTGTATAGCTTTCATACGGAAGAAATAGACTTCGATAGCCATCAATCTTATACAGAAAAACTCCCTTTTTGGTTATTTTTCTCCGATTGCAGAAAAATACAACATAAAAACTTGAATGATACGGTGCATTCAGGGTGACTGACTTTTGACCTTTTATTTGGTCAGTACACTTACCCGCGTTCTTTTATGACTTGAGTAGTGGGAGAGAAAAGCTAAAAGCATAGAATAGGAGTTAAATGGTTACTTTTTTTCATTTTTATTCTATAAATGGCAGTTGAAATCAGCATTATACTCAGCTGTGAGATATATTGAAAATGAGTGGTCAATTTCTACATTTTAATTTTGGAAGAAAAAACAGCATTTATGACGCACTGCTACGCTGGGTGCTACTTGAATTGTAATATCACGCTAGGAAACATCGATAACAAAAGCTTTTGAACTATTGGTCAGATTTACATGTATAATAAGTGCAACAGTTACAAAAACGCATTTTTTCTGAATAAACATGCCATTTTTTTTCACGGGCTTCTAAACATAAAAAGAATTTTTCTAAATGTCTTTAAAACTAACTACTATAGCCCTATTAAACATATTTTTTCCATATTAAGAAGGTTTCTCAGAATTTTCCGCAAAAAAACTGCACCGCCCAACGTGGGGCTCGAACCCACGACCCCGAGATTAAGAGTCTCGTGCTCTACCGACTGAGCTAGCCGGGCGTGACAGTGAATGCGAATGTGATAAATATAAACAAGGCTTGCGAAGTGATAATATGTTCATGAACAGCTGGTAAATTTCCCATGAAAAAGAAAGCTGTTCTGAAATTAAAAATTAATTTTTCAGGCTTTACCACGCCCGGCTAGCTCAGTCGGTAGAGCACGAGACTCTTAATCTCGGGGTCGTGGGTTCGAGCCCCACGTTGGGCGACGAATTATATTTTTGGGAGACGTTATATTTATTTATTTAAATTTTATTATTATTTTTTTGTGATGTTCAAGGTAAGAAATTCTGTAATTTTTCCTTACATAAATTTCTAACAGATAAGCGCAGTTTTTAAATAAGTTTTTATTTATTATCAGAACTGTAATTAGCCCTGCTATTAACATCCTTTTGCTATTTAGTGGGCAAATGTTTCAATGCCAGGTCTTCAAAACTAATAAGTTTTTGAGCATAATAATATGGTTTAAAATTTTTTGCCACTTTCAAAATGTTGTAAACACAGATCCAATTGAAATACTATTGCGCAGTTTCAGTTAAAAGTACACGTCCCTCGATTTTTGTTTCACTCACACAAACGTCCCTTTAAAGTAACATTATTTTCACATTATTAGAAGTGATTTTTAAAATAATTGTATTTAATAATACATTTTATTTTATTATTTTCTTTATTTTGTATTATATGTGTTACATAGCTGACAGCATAGCTGACGGATTATCCATAGCATTTCATTTTGATATTTAAAGTGATAACGAATCTTATAAATTTCCTTTTAATTTTTGGATTTATAAATTTAATTCAATATGAATTTGACCAACACTAAATGCAAATAAATAAGTTTTATACATAAGAGCAAGCCATTGAAAAGAAAATGGGTGTAATCCAAAGTAATTATAAAAAGTTAGTTTTATTTGCAATTAGTTTGCAATAAAAGTTAATTTTATTTTAATTGCATTTCCATTAGTCTATTTTGACCACTAGGGAAATACTTCTTCGGACAGAGTAAAAGTTGGCAGGTCTGCTGTTAGTTTGTTGAATTAAGTATTTTAGTTAGATTGACTTTAGGTTGTGCTAATAGTGTGATAAGAAAATAATTGATACTTTTCTTTCAGCTGAAATTCTAAAAAGTCGAAAAGTGACCGAAATATATATAAATCCTTTAAATGCTATTTCCCATAAATAGCAATAGTTTATGATTGTAATTGTCTGAAACTTAAACATTTTAGTTAATCGGAAAGTGGCTAAAATTTTCATTTGTAGTAAATTTTGTTTGACTATTTGAGGAAAATTAGTTTTGATTTTGAAGGCCGTGAAACGATTGTCGCTTGTTTTGTCCTCAGGTACAGAGATCCAATTAAAATTTAAGAACATTAACTATTAGAAAATTGGTCGTTGCAATGATTGACTGCAAATTCTGCTTGTATCCGCCAGTAAATAATCGAAACTTGTATCGGCCCAGAAACAGAGAGCTTCATTTGATGTAAGCACTTTAGGTTGTCGGAAAGAGTTCGAAGCTTCGATTGCCCCACCTAGACCCGACAGCAAGTTAACCCGTTCACTGTTGAGGGGACATAATTGCTCAATTTTGCAGTGACAATAAAACTGCATTCTTTTAGAAAGAGGTAGAATATAT